CCTCGAAACTTCTCCCTCAAGTGCAACCAGCTGACTTCAAAGGTTGCAGTGAAATGAAATGTTGCCTTTTGGGGTTTTAATTTTATTTATTTTTTGTTAAGAACACTTGTCATTTGTATCCACTATACTCTCCCATACAGAACCTGTTAAAGTTTAAACCTTCCACCCTCATTCAAGTGCCTTCCTTATATTTTAATATAACTGGCAAATATCACACCCCAATACTCACCTGTGTTATCTCCAGCCAATAAAAATACCTTTGATAAGACCATGTCTGTCATAGCAACTTTCTGTTCCATATAAGTATAAGACAGATCTAACAGTTTGCATTCAGCACTGTGCATAGCAAAACAAATCAGGTAATAATTTGCATTTTTCCTTCCATAAATCAGAGCACAAACAGTGAAGTTCTTCTGAAGAATAAATATTACATCAGGTATTTTAATAAAGTTTATTTTCTCACTGGAATACAACCTAAAATAAGTCTCTGTAGTTGAAACAACCTGGTGCAGTTGGACGGGACAGTGCCAGATGTATCAGTGTGTCCAGTGTGACTTTAATTTCACAGCATGATTTAACACCTGGTATTTATAACCAGAAACTAAAATTTTCATTTCTATACTACCTTCCACCTGAGAATATGAAGGAACTTTACAACCTCATGATAACCTCCTCCCTCCAGAGGCACTCAGACCAGAAATAAAAGTACAATGAAATTTCTGCCACTTGCCCAAGGTCAGAGGGGAAGATGATAGCAAAAGAAATCTGACATTCTTTCTCCCATGTTCAACTCAGAGATGTCCATTCCTTCTGTACTGATCCAGGTGTAAGTCACTGTGTAATCTGCTTGATAACTTTCACTGTCCTTGAGTGTGCAGGATGTTCCCAGTAGCCCAAAGGGACATGCAGTCTAGTAAGCCAAGGAACACAGTACAAAAGAAAATGGAGCTACTATTTCTTAGTTTGAGATACGACCTCTTACCAACATATCTGAAACAGCTTCCAAAGTTAGCCTTTATCATCAAATGGAAATTTTATTTATATTTTCAACATGAAATACATTAAAATACAATATTATGCTGACATACATGCTTTTCTGCAAGACTGGTCAATTCTGCCTTTTATATTCCAATTTTAAATAGATACAAGTCTTGCTTTAAACTTTCTCTGGACTCTGCTGTTCATGGCAATGAATTCCTTACAAGCAGTATTTATAAAGCACTGATTCCAGGCTGTACATAAGCAGGAAGTGATGACATACAACAGAAGACAACGGTTAATTGGTTTTGGATTATCAAGTGCTAAGTTACATACACATTTCTTCAAAATTCAAAAGCTAATTTCCGTGGAGTCATGAACTGCTTCACAACTTCGTCTGTGACCTGCTTCCTTCTCTCTTGATGAGCTGCTATCAAGGGCTGCATTGTCTCAATAAGCACTTTCTTCAGCTCCCCCGTGAGCAATTCCCCACTGGTGTATGCCTGTCAAGAGAGTGTTGGTTGCTAAATGTGATGCTGTTGGCAAAAAGACTCAGTGATCAGTTTCTTTAAAAGTCTGGTCCCACCAAACACAGACTGGGATGTCTCAGAAATAAGCACATGACTCAGAGGATGTGTTTGGTCAGGCACCAGAATATTGCCCAGGGAGGTAGTGGAGTCACCGTGCCTGGAAGTGTTGAAGAGGTGTCTGGATGTGGCACTGGAGGATCTGGTTTAGGGTTTAGGAGTTCCAGCAGTGACAGGTTAATGGTTGGACTGGATGACCTTAGGGGTCTCCTCCATTCTTGATGGTTCTATGATTCTAAGATTATGTGGTATCATTCTGAAGATACAACTTGCAAAATTGCTTAGAATCATAGAATGAACAGGGTTGGAAAAGACCTCCAAGGTCACCAAGTCCAACCTTACCGTGGTGACTAGACCATGGCACTAAGTGCCACATCCAGTCTCAGACTGAAAACCTCCAGGGACGGTGAATCCACCACCTCCCTGGGCAGCACATTCCAATGCCTGAGCACTCTCTCTGTAAAAAATCTCTTCCTGATATCCAACTTAAACCTCCCCTGGCAGAGCTTGAGTCTGTGCCCTCTTGTCCCACTGCTGGTTGCTTGTTACCTTTTCAAAGATTAAGGCAACTGAGCAATTTCATATGTGACAAGTTATTATATGGCCTGAATAAGCTACATTCAAAAGTTTAACTGGGAAATCCTGTAATTACTTGCAGGAAACTGCATATTTTCCTCCCCAGAATCCCAGTTCAAATCAACAGTCACTCTCAACTGGTTTTTTTTATTGCAATAAGAGGTACAAATGCTCATATTTTTCTCTCACTGCAATTGGGTAATAGATTAGATGTCGTTAAATTATCCTTTTTATAGCAAAGAGACTCAGAATCTATGTTCACACTAGCAGTCATATTCACAGTTGGTAAGTCATTCCATTGCTCTGATACTGAAATGCTTTAGCTAGAAGCACAGGCTAACAGCTGATTGGTTTAGAAACATAGTTGGGGCAGTTCAACTGTGATTTCAAACAACAATAAAGATGATAATATTACCTCCCCTTCTCATCAAGCCATTTGTAACACCTATTCAAGGTGTAACTGCCGCTGATGTTCACTCAGCAACAGCAAAACACATTAACAAGAATGAACTGAATTGCAATTTCAGTTATGGGTTTTTGGGGGGTAGTTTTGATTTTTTGTTAGTTTGTTATAAAAACACCAGCTTTCTCAGAAAGCTTCCTCTGGTGCCATAACTGACACAGCTCCACTAATGGCTCTTTAAGCAGTGAGTTCATGTTTTCTAAGCAGGTTCTGAGGCAGCACTGCAGAGAGCTGCAAGCTGTGGGACAGGCTGTGCTCTGCAGCAGCTAGGCTGACACTGGTGCAGGGTTGGAGACCAGTGTGATCACTGAATCAATTCCTCAGAGCTATTACATTTCTTGTGATGGTAAGAAAGAATAAAAACCCAGCAAGCTTCAGGCATGAGCTTTAGTAGTTTTGCAGTGTTTAGGTACCTTGCAAGAAGGAACAGGCAGAGTATCCCATAAAATGAAAACAACACTAAGCCTAAGGTGGCCTCATTTGAAGATATTGTCCTACACAGCATTAGAGATTCTTATGAAATACTAGAGATTTTTCTTTTTTGAGAAGAGAGAGATTTTCCTGTGAGAAAGCAGAATCACAGAATCATCAGGGTTGAAGGAGACCTCTAAGATCATCCAGTCCAACCATTAACCTGTCACTGCTGGAACCCCTAAACCATATCCTCCAGCATCAGAACACTGCAAACAATTAGAGATACACTAATATTGAAACTTGCAAGGGATGGAGAGCACAAGAACAGCACCACAATCACCTTCCTGGAGAAGGTTCACAGAATGACTCAGATGCAGCTCTGTTGAGGGCTGAGGTACAGCTTTGTCCTCATGGTAGATGAGCTGGTTTGGGCTAGGGTAGAGATAAATTTCTTCATGGGGGCTAGTATGTGGCTGTGTTTAGGATTTGTGCTGAACACAGGGTTGACAATACAGAGATGTTTTTGCTGTTGCTGAGCAGAGCTCACACAGAGCCAAGGCCTTTGCTGCTTTTCATACTGCCACACTGGCGAGGAAGTTGAGGTGCATGGGAGGTTGGGAGGAGACACAGCTGGGACAGGTGACCCAAAGTGACCAAAGGGATATTCCATACCATAGGACATCATGCTCAGTATATAAGGTGGGA